TGGGGTCCGTACGGGATGGGGGTATAAATGGGGTGGGGTCCGTACGGGATGGGGGTATAAATGGGGTGGGGTCCGTACGGGATGGGGGTATAAATGGGGTGGGGTCCGTACGGGATGGGGGTATAAATGGGGTGGGGTCCGTACGGGATGGGGGTATAAATGGGGTGGGGTCCGTACGGGATGGGGGTATAAATGGGGTGGGGTCCGTACGGGATGGGGGTATAAATGGGGTGGGGTCCGTACGGGATGGGGGTATAAGTGGAAGGGGGTAATAAATGGGAGACAGGGGCAGCAAGGCAACAGCAGCCCTCAGCAGGGGTGAGTGGGTTTCAGTGCGAGTGCAGTCCTGTTAGCACAGTGTTAGCCCAGTTCCGATTGTTTGGGGTTTCAGGGCAATCGGAGGGTGATGGGGTATTTCAGAAGGTGAGGGGCAGTTTCCCACAGGATGGCCCAGCCATCACAGTGTCACTCACCGTGCACCTATACTTAACACAATCATCCCAAAAGCGAGAGGCAGAGAACTTCCTCCTGATGACCACAGTCAGTCCATGCAGGAGACACTGGCCGATCCCCACAATATTCCCTAGAGAAACAAACAGGACCACGTCAATGACAGTGCACTCAGTTTCCACTCATTAACATTGCAAACACTGTACCGTTCAGTCCAGAGCCACTCAGGGACAAAACAACACTTAGCGGTCTGTCAAACCTACCTCAAAAAGTCCAGCTTCATCACAACCACTGACCGCTCCCTAACTGCCCCCTCCCTCCCATCCCTCACCTTTCCTCACTCAACCTTTCCCCCTGATTGTCCTGCACCCCCCCAAAGCCCCTCCCTCCCAGCCTCTGTACATCCCTCAAGACCACTCCCTCTCTCACTATCTGCCCGTACCCCTCTCACAGGACCTTCCTCCCATCCTCCCTCACTGCCCCACCTTTACGCACTCCCCACCCTCCCTCCAGCACTGCCCACCCCAACCGCCCTCCTTCCCCCTCCCTCTGCATTCGCAGCCCCTCACTGCCCCTTACTCCCTTATTTTCCCACTCCCTACCTGACAGGGTAGATGTAGAAAGGTTGTTCCCCCAGTGGGAGGGTCTAAGGCATAGTCTCAGAGTAAAGGATTGTACATTTAAGACAGACATAGGATGAAGTTCCTCTCTCACAGGGTAATGAATCTGTGGAATTCTTTACCGCAGAGGCCTGTCAAGGCTGGGTCATTAAGTATGTTCAAGGCTGAGATAGACACAGTTTTTAATCAGTAAGGGAATCAAGAATTATGGAGAAAGCAGTAAAGTGGAGTTGAGGATTATCAGACCAGCTATAATCTTACTGAATGGTAGACCAGACTTGATGGGCTGAATGACCCATGTCTGTACCAACACAGAGTCATACAAAACGGAAACAGACCCTTCGATCCAACTCGTCCATGCCAACCAGGTATCCCAAACTTTTATAGTCTATTTTGTGAAGTGACAGTGTTTACTGTAAGCACTCTATCCTGTCCTTTTCTGTCCCTCAAATCTTCCCTCCCCTGGCCCACAGCCCTCACTCAGTTACCTGCAGAGTGATAGAGAGGCAAACAGTCATAGACAATGTCATCAGCGCGCATTCGAAACCCATAATAAACCAAAGCTGCCATCCGGTAATACCTGGAAGGAGAGAGAACTTTTAGATCTGGTTTCCAATTCTTAAATACAGTTGAAAAGAGAAACGTGTTACCAAAGCTTTCCCTCTTGCAATCATCAGGACAAATGCAAGAATGCCAAATTTCAAATAATCACTACAATTTATACCACAGAAGAAAAGGGTGCTGATTGGTTGGCAAGATGACCCCGATTGACTAGAGCATTGCTAGGACAAAAGTAACAAGAAAACAATAGGCTCCTCAAACTCAGGAAACTCAAATAAAAAGGCATAAAAGCCCGAACATATTGCTTTTGTTTGCAGAGGACAGTTCGCTGCATTTTCAAAATTCTTTCAGAAATTTCACCACGTGTCTCCATCAGCCGAGTCTGCAAGGCAAGGCGTGCCAATTCCAGAGAATGGGCAACTCCAGCCAACGTGGCTGGTGCCAGTTGGCAGTAGCAGACGTAGCTCCCGAGACCAGGGCTGGATTGGCACGGCCACATGGAGTGCGGCACAGCCTAAGGGGACGCCTTTCAGGTGAGACTTTAAACAAGAAAGCCCAACTGCCTTCTCAATTAGACATTAAAGATCCCCCAGCACCATCTTGAAGAAAATGAGGTGCCAGTGAGTTGCACAAAATTACCATGTGCCTGGATATCATCGACAGACGGTGTAAATATATATTATAAATAAATACCTATTATGGTTATAGGCATATGGTATAAATATGTTATAAATATATTATTACTGTTATAGACAGATGGTGTAAATATATATAAGTACATACTTATTATGGTTATAGGCATATGGAATAAAATTATTATAAATATTATTAGTTATAGACAGATGGTATAAATATATATTGTAAATAAATGTCTATTATGGTTATAGACAGATGATAGACTAAAGAAAAGCTGTTTCTGTTAAACTGACGGCACAAGGATAAGGTGAGGTTTCACATTATGAGAAAAGGGGGGGTTGGAGGTTAATGCGAGGAAGAATTGTTTTACACAGTGAGTGATAATGACCTGGGACTTGCCTCCCACAGCTGAGGTGGAACAGAGATGACAAATGATTTGAGGGGAAAAAGAATGGGGATGGGACTGAGTGCATCGCTGTACAGAGTGGCTCAATGGGCCGAATGGCCTTTTTGTATGTTGTAATGACCCTATACTGCCATTGGAGGCAGTCCAGAGATGATTCACGCAGCTGATCCCAGGTATGGAGGCACTGCCTCATGAGAATAGACTGAGTAGGTTGGGTGTATACTCACTGGAATTTAGAAGTGAGCGGTGACCTTACTGAAATGGTAAGAGATTCTTAGGGACACTTCACAGTCGACGTGGAGAGGTTGTTCCCCCTTGTTGGAGAGTCTAGGGCCAAAGGGCATTCTCTCAGAGTAAAGGATCATCTGTTTGGGGAGAAATTTCTTCTCTTCAGAGGGTAGTGAATCTGTGGACTTCTTCACTGCAGAGGTCTGTTGAGGCTGGGATAGACAGGTTTTTAATCAGGAAGGTTAAATCAAGGGCTATGGGGGAAAAAGCAGGAAAGTGGAGTCGAGGAATATCAGATCAGCCATGGTGTCACTGAACGGCACAGCTGACCCGATAGTTTAAAAGCAGGGGTTTCTCAGTAGTGTCGGGTCTACTAATAAACAACCCCTCTCCTCTGAAGCAACATGATTAAAACTGAAGACATAACCCCAATATTGACCCCATCCTCCAGCCCCTCACCCCAGGAAGCAGCGTTGAAAATGTAGCTTGATGGAAGTCGATTGAGAGCGTTGGGCAGTGATAGAGAGCAAGTTCCATGGCTTTTAACATCCTTAAGATGGGGGTCCTTACCTGCTGTGGACAACTATAGCTGCCTTGGGCATGCCTGTCGTTCCTGAAGTATAGATATAAAACAGTCGATCTGCAACAAAAGATACATATTTACAAGGGACTGGCAAATAGCCTTTAAATCATGGAATGAACACAGAAGATAGATATTTGGCCCATTGCATCCATGCTAGGCCTGTCTTAGAGTTCGCCCTCCTCGGGCCCTTCCTTTCCCAGGTTTGGAATCCTTCTCTCCAAGTATTTGTTGAAAGGTTGAGCAAGCTCCAATGAGCTAAACTCCTCCTCCAAAGGTCCGACCAAATCTATTCCCGTGCACACTTTCAGGCAGTGCATTCCCAACCACAATGCCCACTGTGAAATTCTTTCCTGGGATTTGGTGTCACTGCAAGGAATGTTTAGGGGCAAGGTCCTCTCAAATGGCCAAGCCAGCCATTGAGTCCCGAGGAATGAGGAATGGGCAACAAATGCTTGCCTTGCTACTGGTGCTTACAGCGACCCATCAAAGGCAGCACGGAGACACAATTTTAAAATGCTTAGAGGAAAGGGCAGGTCTGGGTTAGATACGACGTAGTGGTCATTCCCCAAAAGTGGTGCTCCTATGGAATGGACTCGCACTGTGCTACTCAAGTCCTCCAGGCAAGGGCTCAAGCTGCTCCGAAGAGGTCAGGGAAATCCTGCTCACAAACGGTAGGAACAGCTTCACATTAATCAGGGCTACAGTGATCTCTCAGACCCATTCCTATCACCAACAGTGAAATTCTTCAGACTCATTCCCCTTCAGCCACCCCACCCCACCAAGCCCGACCCTCCCGGAGTTTTTAACCTGTTTCCTCACTCCTTTTCGGTCGCAAGAAACAGGAGGGCAGAATGTTACTTGAATGACAACAGTTTGGGAAAGAGGGAGGTGCAGTGAGACCTGGCTACACGCTAGTCGCTGAGAGTAAGTGGGCAGTGAAGGTGGTAAATGGTATGCTGGTCTTCATAGCAATGGGATTCGAGTACAGGAGCAGGGATGTCTTGCTGCAATTATACAGGGCCTTGGTGAAAGTACTGACTACAGAGGGACTACAACAAAGGCTTCCCAGACTGATTCCTGGGATGGAAGGACTGATGTATGAAGGGAGACTGGATCAGTTAGGGTTACATCCACTGCAGTTTAGAAGACTGTGGGAGTAATTCTTATAAAATTTTAACAGGACTAGACACAGGGTGAATGCAGAAAGGATGTCCCCAGTAACCAGGGAGTCCAGAACCAGGGGATCACAGTCAAAGGATACTGAGTGGGCCATTTAGGACTGAGATGAGGAGAAATGTCTTCACCCAGAGTGTGGTGAGCCTGTGCAATTCTCTGCCACAGAAAGCAGTTGAGGCCAAAACATGGAATGTTTTCAAGGAGGAGTTGGATATCATTCTTCGGGATAAAGTGATCAAAGGGTCTGGGGAGAAAGTGGGAACAGGGGAAGCAGGCTCAAAAGGGCCGAATGGCCTATTCATGCCCCTATTGGTAGGGGATGGCACAGACGGGATTGGCCTCGTTCCACCTGCTCCCTAAGGCTGGTACCTGTGAATCCTCGGCTCTGGAGAGGGGGAGGGCACTGGCTTGATGCAGCTTCCAGCAAGCGATCGAGGTTCTCCGTACCAGGGAGCACTTCCGACGGATCGGGCTCTCCAGAGCAGTACAGGGACATGGATTTGCCCAGCAGCTTGTGGATCTCCTTCAGGGCTGGTCAAAAACAAAACAAAAGAGGCAAAAGTGAAGACAGACTCTCAGTGTTGGGCATTCCTCTCCTGACTCCCCATCTCAGAACCCCCACAGTTCGCACTCTGGCTACTGATCTGATCATTTTCCTAATGTCCAATCCCACTCTGCACAACGGGTGATTCCATGTGCACCACAAACCAAAAGGATCATTAAACATAGGAGCAGAATAAGACCATTCAGCCCATTGAGTATGCTCCGCCATTCTGTGGCTGATCTGATCTCCTGCAACTCCACTTACTCGCCTTTTCCCCCATTAACACTCGATTCCCCTTACTAATTAAAAGGTATATTCAAGGCTGAGAGAGATTTTTAATTGACCCAAGCTCAACAGCCTTCTGTGGTAAAGAATTCCACAGATTTACTACCATCAAACAAAAATTTCTCTTCATCTGTCTTAAATGTGTGACCCCTTACATGGAGATGAAGCCTTCTGTATCTAGACTCTTCGAGAAAGGGGGAACAACCTTTCCACATCTCCTCTGGCAAGCCCCCTGAGAATCTTGTATGTTTCAATACAGACTCATTCTCCAATCTCATTCAACTTACACACAATAAGCTCCTACCAACAGAAACATAGAATCCCTACAGTGTGGAAACAGGCCCTTCGGCCCAACAAGTCCACACCGACCCCGAGCATCCCACCCAGAATCATCCCCCTGTAACCCACCTAACCTACACATTCCTGAACACACTGGGCAATTTAGCATGGCCAATTCACCCTAACTTGCACATCTTTGGACAGTGGGAGGAAACCGGAGCACCCAGAGGAAACGCACAGAGACACGGGGAGAGTGTGCAAACTCCACACAGTCACCCGAGGGGGGAATCGAACCTGGATCCCTGGCGCTGTGCAGCAGCAGTGCTAACCACTGAGCCACCGTGCCACCCAACATGTCAGGTACCCAGGGAAGTTCACAGGGTGGGTGCTGAGAGTCGTCGAGAACTAAGGGGCCCAGTTTAAAAATAGAAGGTCGCCCATTTTAGATGAGGAGGAGGAGGAGGAGAATGCCTCTCTCTGAGAAGGTCTTTATTCTCTCAAATTATCTTCCCCAGACAGCAGGAGACACTGGGTCACTGAATACAGTCAAGGCTGAGTCCAAGCATCCAGAGGGTCAAAGGTTATCGGTGCTGGGGCTGGGGTCAGGCAGGAGAATATAATCACAGCCACAACCAAATCACCCATGATCTTATCAAACGGCACAGCATGCTGGACGGACCGAATGGCCTGTCCTGATCCTAGCTCGTGTTCAGACAGTATTGTGATAATCTAGATCATCTGTTTGATTTGGTTGGTGAGTAAACACTACCCACAGCACCAAGTGTAACTCTAAGCCACACTAGCGCTGGGGGTTTACTTCCTTCCTCAGTGGGGGCAGGCAGGGCCTTGGGTTAGTGCCTCATCCCAAAAACAGCACCTCAGACTGTGCAGAGCTCCCTCGACACTGCACTGGAGGGTCCAGATGGATTCTGCACTCAATCCTCGGATTTTGGATTTGAGTTGAGGAGGTGAGAGCGTGATCCATGGACTCGGGTCGGGGAGACAGGTCCCGACAGACTCAACTGAGCCACCAACACTGACTCAATATGGCGGCTGGCATAATGCCGGTGACTATGAGTAGTGTGCCCCTCCCCCCCACACTTCCTCAATAGGCTGTGCTCGGAGCAAGATGCACTCCTTTAACAAGTGAGACCTAACGTGGAACAGTGACAAAGACAGGTACAGAGAGTGTTACACCCTCCAACAATAACCACTTGTTATGATATAGCTGCCTTCAAGCAGAGTCAAAGTAAGTAAAAACAAAGTGATGTTCAGAGAGGCCAATCCCAAAGATTGTGAGCTGCTTGTTTGTTCTCTTTATTTCCCTAGTCTCTAGTTAATATTAAAGGCGCCTTTATCTTTGCAATCCCATGAGACTGGCACTCAAATACAGACATGTGGATCTTGCTGTGACACAGGGCCTGCACTCCTGGTGAAGACAATGCTAATCACTGTGCTGGAGATAAAGGAATAAATCCTCCGAAGAGGTTTCAAACGGAGACCTGGGTTCAACACAGTCACCAGAAGCATGGCCCACATCAACCTTTGTCCCGTATTTCAACAACAAGACCCTTCCTGAAATTGTGTGGTGAGTAGCTGCAGCTAATGCAGAAACCGACAGAAGGCAGTGGGAGAGATTCCTGATCAGCCACATAATGGCGGGGGGGCACGTTGGGAATCTCTGCCCATCACTCCAGGCTACAACATGCCCGCCACAGCAATGCAGACTCCCCAAGTGAACTGTAACATATCACCCTAGTGTAACGGCTTTCTCAGTGTTCTGTGAAATCTTTCAATTCTATCCGGGTACAGCCACCTTCCCAAGCACAAAATGGCAAACGTGAAAAAAAAAATTCTCACACACATTCCTTTTCCAAACTGGACCAGCAGATTGACAGAGAGAAAAGGGTCAAGCATGGAGACCAAACAGAGAAAACACATGCAAAGGTTGAGGTAGACCTGCAATGTGACTTTTCATTTGTGATGCGCAAACAGGCAGATTACACCCCACACAGATCATTTGGGAAACGAGAGCTTTCTAATTAGGATCAATTGGTGGGCCCACCCAATTGCAAACTCTCAATTAAACACTGGAATTTCAAAACATTGCCAACACTTGTAAGCAGACAGACACCAAACAGTTTCTGGTGTTGGGATTGACAGAGAGGATCCAAGTTCTAAACTCTCAGAAATGCCCTGAGGCCACTCTAGCAGTTTGCAGCCCTGTCTCCTCAGTATTGCCAAGCAGTGGAGGATAGAACTGGAGCCAACCTTTACACAGTGTAAAAGCTGTTATTCAGAGAAACACATTATAGATATGTGCTTCTTAATACAACTATCAATTTCACTCTGCTTCTATATATAGGAGTACAAGGTGAATCCACAGTCAGTGCTCAGCAATTCAATGGAACTGATCATGAAATAATACACAATCAACACCAAGTCACTGCCCCACGATAATCAGACTCTTTCTGCATTTCACTCAACTTTTCTTTCAGTCACAGTCAATGGAAAGGTAAGACTGGATGTGAGTAACATCACTCACTTCACGCAATGGCCTTAAAAATCGCTCTCTATGTCTAACCCATGCAAAGGCCTTTGTACTGGAAGTCATGCAGAAGCCACAACTTTTCAACTTTTATTTTTATTCAGTCATGGGCAGCAGATATCACTGGCTGATCAATACCTGACTTTGAGAAGGTGGCTGTGAACTGTCGTCTTGACCTGCTGCAGTACCCCAACAACTGACAATCTGAAATTGTACCATTTTTAAGAATTCAGTTGAGAGAAGAAAAAACATGTAGCGTCCCTAAAGTAACAACCGAATGTTTTACTGAGCCATGTCAGAGGGCAGTTCAGAATCACCCATCCTGGTTTGGTTCTGGAGGTATATATAGACCAGACTCCACAGTGACAGGTTTCATTCCTTAAAAAGGGTCACACAGTTAATAAACACATGGGGAGGCGATGGCCCACTGGTATTATCGCTAGGCTATTAATCCAGAAAGCCAGCTGATGTTCTGGGGACCCGAGTTCCAATCCCATCACAGCAGGTGCTGGAATTGGAATTCAAAAAAAGAGAGAGTCTGGAATTAAGAACCTACTGATCACCATGAAATCATTTTGTTGGAAAAACCCACCTGGTTCACTAAATTCCTTCAGGAAGGAAGTCTGCCATCCTTGCCTGGTCTGGCCTACATGTGACTCCAGACCCACAGCAATGTGGTTGACTCTCAACACTGATATCTACCCAACAACGTGGAAAATTGCCCAAGTATGTCCTATACATAAAAAAGCAGGACAAATCCAACCCGGCCAATTACCGCCCCATCAGTCTCCTCTCAATCATCAGTAAACTGATGGAAGGTGTCAGCAACAGTGCTATCGAGCAGCACTTACTCAGTGATGCCCAGTTTTGGGTTCCGCCAGGGTCACTCAGCTCCTGACCTCATTACAGCCTTGGTTCAAACATGGACAAAAGAGCTGAATTCCAGAGGTGAGGTGAGAGTGACAGCCCTTGATATCAAAGCTGCATTCGACCGAATGTGGCATCAAGGAGCCCCAGCAAAACTGGAATCAATGCGTATGGGGGCAAACTCTCCGGTGTTTGGAGTCATACCTTACACATAGGAAGATGGTTGTGGTTGTTGCAGGTCAATCATCTCAGCTCCAGGACATCCCTGCAGGAGTTCCTCAGCGTTGTGTCCTAGGCCCAGCCATCTTCAGCTGCTTCATCAATGACCTTCCCTCCATCATAAGGTCAGAATTGGGGATGTTTGCCGATGATTGCACAATGTTCAGCACCATTCGTGACTCCCCACATAATGAAACAGTCCATGTTCACATGCAACAAGATCTGGACAATATTCAGGATTGGGCTGACAAGTGGCAAGTGACATTTGTGCCACACAAATGCCAGGCTATGACCATCACCAATAAGAGACAATCTAACCACCATCCCTTGACATTCAATGGTGTTACCATCACTGAATTTCCAACTGTCAACATCCTGGGGGTTACCATTGACCAGAAATTCAACTGGGCTTACCACATTAACACAGTGGCTACAAGAGCAGGTCAGAAACTAGGAATACTGTGGCAAGTAACTCACCTCCTGACTCCTCAAAGCCTGTCTCACCATCTACAAGGCACAAGTCAGGAGTGTGATGGAATACTCCCCACTTGCCTGGAAGGGCACACCCCCAACAACACAAGAAACTTGACATCATCCAGGACAAAGCAGCCGCTTGATTGGCACTACATCCAAAACCACCACTCCCTCCACCACTGACACTCAGTAGCAGCAGTGTGTACGATCTACAAAATGCACTGCAGAAATTCACCAAAGATCCTCAGACAGCACCTTCCAAACCCACGACCACTTCCATCTAGAAGGACAAGGGCAGCAGATATATGGGAACAT